CAATGAGTACTGAGTCATTTCAAAATTTAGTTGAAATTGTTTTTTTTTATGGACACGGTAACTTTACCTACTCAGAAAAAAAATGGAAATTTGGATAAGTGCTCAAATAATGCAGGGAAATTTAGATCCTCAGGGTGCCACTGAAAAATAAATAGAGAAAGCAAGCCTCTTACCTGTGTAACAAATCACTCTGCTTGAAATTAAAAGCCAAAGGCTTAAGTGAAAAGAAATCAATTTGATGACAGTTATGACTGATAATGCTTTCATGACTGTAGGCAAAATGTATATTTGTCGCCAGTGGTTGTTTTAGCTCCTGAACACTTTGCCGCACCTGTCATTACCGTCTTTAGCAGGTTCTGTGAATACAAATGAATAATTTATGTGTTGGGACAAAAAAATTCAAACGTTAATCATCTTAGTAATATTCTAGCAGAAAACTCAGCATACTCATAGACTGATTAAACGCAATTAATTCCAAACAGGGCAGAAAGTGATAATTCAGAGGAAAACATTGAAATTGAAATCAGGACTTAAAACATAAAGTTGATATTAGATTGACTGGCAGGAAAGTCGTGAAATCACAACAAAACAAAATGGCGGACAGGCTGAAAGAAGCAACCGTTTTCATCGAGAGTTCGAGTTAGAATTCTAAGAACAAAATACCCAACACAGCATAAACAATTGGTTAAAAGTCCAAAAGTATTGAATCGCGAGGACCGGAGGCCCTCTTAGGAAAGACGGGGACGATTACGAGCCTGATAGACTTTCGTATACTGTAATGGTTAATGCTGACCAATACCTAACAGAGAAAGAGTGTCAAGTTCGATTGTTTGTTGTAGAGCGTTGAAAAAGAAAAAAGCTCGAACATACAAAACGATGTCGATTTCAATCGTGGGCTCAAAATGATGTATATTTGTGTGTATTTCGTCCACCGGTCTAAAATCAACATAAATTATATTAGTGTTATTTTATCTCATTTTAAACATCACGAAGAATAAAAACTTTCTAAAATTTTCTTTAAGCGGAATCCACAAATATTGATATGTGACCCAGAGCGGTCTTTCCTGTAAAACATGTACATAAAAGTAGTGAGTAAAAACCAATGTTACACAAGATCAACCTATGAATCAGTTTTCAAAGTGCTGTGGTATAATAGAAATGGTAGTTAGAATTGACAAGTAAATTAGAAATGTAAAATTTACGAGGAAACATCTTCAGTGAGAACCAATGTTTGAAAAATACATAAAAAATACAAATGAAAAGCTACCGGTAAAAATTCATTATTCCGTCGGCTCATGATAACATTCAGTTTCTGGTTGTATACTTTGCTTTGTCATCATTCCTTTAATAACGTCTAACAAATACGTAAATGAAACGTTTGGGATGACATATGGCGGCATCTTGTGAGGCAAAACCTAATTAACAAAATTATAGGTTATCCAATCAGAATATAAAATTCTACACTTTATCGTCTTGATTTTAGGCTAGTTAATATTTTCAAAGCAGGGAATTTAATTATTTTGAGATAAAGCGATAAGAGGCTACTTGGTATAAAAGGTTGAATGAAAAGTTCTTCATATACATTTTACTTAACAGTAAGATGTGAGGTTCTCTATTTGCACAAAATATGTTTACCTGTGTTTTGTTATTTTGATCACGCTCTGGTGCTTGCCATTGCTAAGGAGCTCGAGGCCCAAATTAAAATTGGCGGTAGAAGTGGCTCACAGGAATTCAGTTACAAAGATCTGAAGGTCGCACTTCACACGGGAACTATGGTCAGAAGTTAGAGATTATTTATAGTGATTCTAAATCTTGCTTTGTTTAAAAAAATAATAATCTAAGTGATTCCAATCTTCTTGTTTTGCAAATATATCGATGGGGTGCTTTCACCTTCAAAATATATTCAAAAGGAGATTCAGAGCTGCCGTCACTGATCGTTGATCCGTCAATAAGTAATTATTAGTTACTGACGGACTCCAGGCTAAGTCCTTAAGTGTATGACAGTGATGGGTTTGACTGCAGGGTCTATCAATTATGGAAATTTTCTTTCGTTTTCTCGCTTTCTCCTGGGAGAGTGATAACATCGACACTTTTTAATTTTCTTTTTCCACAGACGCATGTTCAAGGTTTACGCGTCACAACAATGCGACTTGCGTGCCAAGTTACCCTGACAACAAATACCCCTCTGATTGAGAGGTGAAATAGGTGTAATAATAAAATATGGCCAATATTCGTGACGGGCATTGCTTTAACTAGGAATCTTGAAATGTAACCCTTTACACGTCAGTTTAGACCAAAAAGTTTACCTCTTTGGGAGCACCTCTTTTAATGAGAAAGGTAAACATTGCAGTCACCACAAAACAAGTTTCGACCATTGCTCGATCATATTTCACATTTTCCATGCTTTTTTTATGTTAAAGAGGGCTATCTTTAAAATAAGGAACGGGGAATTGAGGAATCGGAGAATTGGGAAATTGGAGAATTGGGAGATTGGAGATTTGGGAAGCTGAAGAATTGGGAAATTGGAGATTTGGGAAATTGGAGAATTGGGAAATTGGAAAATTGGGAAATTGGAGATTTGGGAAATTGGAGAATTGGGAAATTGGAGAATTGGGAAATTGGAGAATTGGGTAATCGAAGATTTGGGAAATTGGAGAATTGGGTAATCGGAGAAATGGGAAATTGGAGAATTGGGAAATTGGAGAATTGGGAAATTGGAG